ATAGTCACTACATCAAAAGTGATAAATCCCTAAAATTCTCAAGACATCGGGTTTTATTTGATTAGTAGACATCTATCTTAAATTACGAAATTAAATCATGACATTTTCGGATTGGTTAAGGAAGACAAGTTAAATGCTTTATATAACTCAGAGTGGTGATACAGCGAAAAACGCTGATGGACAACAGCAAAATTTTTATGCGATTAATTTATCTACTTTCATCCCAAGGCACTTTCGACATTCTAGACTTCTGCGTGACTATAAGATAATCAGGGAAACAAGTAAGAGTTTTAATATCTTTGTCAGAATGAAACGAAAGAACCCCAGAAAAATTGTCTTTTCGAGTGTATGAAACTGACAGATGTTGTTTGATGTCCTTTCAAACTACCGAACCGTTTTATGCTTTAGTAATGATACTATTGCTTCTACCTTAAATAAACTATTAAGAGAATTATTGAGCTCAAATACTCGTGGGCTCTTTCCTATATGAAAAGTTCGGAAAAAAAGAGATTTAGACATAAATTATATTTGCAGAAATTGAACAGACAAGCAGTATAACGCAGAATCATCCTAAGTGATTTTCTTTCAAACACGACAACATCGTGCCACTCCTCCACAATATCTTGCCATTACTCTTTCGCAAATTAAAATAGTAACATGTCTTCCAATTTTTTTTTACAATCTTGTTCCCCCCTCGAGGGGTGGGCCGATCCCTGCAGCAGTGCAACGCTGGGCCGACCCGTGATGAGGTGCGAGCAAGCCCGCAACCTCATCCGGTTCCAAAAATCAAATAACCTTAACGAGACTCATTCGAGACTCTATCGAAGGTTAATTCGATAAGAACAGAAACTAAACTTTGATCTTAGCCAAAAGGCCGAGAAGCGATACATGCGGTAACAAACACCTGCAGTACACCTTTACGCCCATCGTATCCTCCGCTGGCTGACGGGCCGATGCTGTCTCTGCACAAGAGCGTGCAGAGAACGCATCGATGCGGGGCTGCCCCGTTTTCGAAAACGCGGCAGTTCTCCAGCGAATGTATCAGACCCTACTCCTGCCCGCAAGATGAAGACACAAAGATGGAGACATGCTCCTTTCTAGGAGAAAGAAAGCCTTACCATTACATCTGGATTGGCGGTAGCAAGACCCAAGTATGCGTTTGCGATTGAGGAGCTCTTTCCAATAACAACTGGTATTCGCGATGCTCCAAATGTGTTCAGCGAAAATGATCTCTCTGAAATGAATTATTGTAATATGTAAAACTTCTGACGTAACTTCTACTCACATTAACCGATGCAACAGGCATTCATCGATATTCTTGCTTACAAGCAGATACATATTCTTATCGTTATCGTATTGAGTTATTTCTTTCTATTCAAGATACAATTGGCCTTCCCGCGATACCGATTAGAAATCGCAAATAAGAATTCAGCAATCACACGCAGTTCAGCAAGAAAGGGAAAAAATACAAAATGTTATTTTTCAAGCCAAAAATCTCGGCGTTTTGCAAGAAAAAAAGGCGTACGAGATTTCTTGATATGGACCTAACGAGCACTATAATCGCTCGTATCGCTTATAACTATTAAATATTATGTTGATGATTTTACCTGTATTCTTATTTATTGTAATTATTAACTATATTACTTATTAATTACATTAATGATTTTACCTGTACTCTTATTTATTGTAATTATTACTAAATAACTTATTATTAACATTTTTACGACTGTTATTTACAATTATTTAAACTTGGTGATGTTCAACTTACAGACGTTTGCTAAAAGTTTTATTGTTACATGAAATTCTTTTCAAAAAACGCATACACTCTTCGTTAAATCGAGCATTTGCAAAGTTTGACTTCAAACACTGGGTGTGGTCTAACTATGTTAAATTGTTAGGTGCAGATGTAATCCAATCTGTAGCAGAATGCATTACGTAGGATCGTATTTAAACATTCACCTTTTACAGCTAACTTTCCCAGTAACTAGTAATGCAGTGCAATACAGATTTCTTTTAGAAGAAGTATGACTTCGGCCAGTAGCAAAGGGTAAAAAGCGCAGTTAAAACACATTTCTAAGGGCCTTGTAGACTTTGTGAACTAAATTCTTGACGGAGTATATACTAAGAAACGGCGCATTATCAACTCGTCCCTTTTGGACTTCATGGAATTAAAGGGAAAATTCCTCAAATTGGTCACAAACTGAGGATTTTCAGGATTGTAATTTCGGACACATAATTTATTAACTCTCTATCTTAACTTACTGATATTGACTTTTTTCAATCACTGTTTTATTGAAAAATCAAAAAGAACAATAAACTTAGACCAGGTACGTTTCATGTTCAAAACTGAACTAAAATAAATATTAAAGTACTGAAACAAACCTTGATCATCATTCAACTTCTTCGTCCAACCTGACACATAGGCAATCAGCAGAAGTATGCCAATTGGAACAACGAGTTGTGTGATCAGATGTGGCCAATTTCTTATTGTGTATAGGATACGTTTCGTAAAAAGAGCTTCCACTTGGGCACGTAACAAAGCACACCCTTCACGACGCTCAACTGAAATGACTCATGGAGAATTCTGCTCTATTAGCTTTGAAGTTTACGAACCTCTTTGCGCTTGAATTAGCTCCTCGCTACGGCTGATAGTTGCATCAACAAAATCGATCATGGCGCCAGGATCAGTCTGCTCAGCAACTTTGAGGAATACCTAAGATCACTTGAATAAGTGGTAAACAACACAAGAACAAATGGAAATGACAAAATAACAGTTAAAAAGTGTGGAAGAAGAAAGGGGAGAGATGGCGAGAAATAAAGCGAATCAGAATCCACTGGTTTACCTGTTCTAAGGTGTTTAACGACAATCCGAAGCTGCTGATATGCAACGCGTCCTTTGACCTCTCCAGATACTCAAACAATTCGGGAAAACTAAAGCAGTGATGGTGAAACAAAAAGGTGACAAATATTCAGAGCAGTACTTACTTCTGCTGCTGTTCCTTCGGCAGAATAATTTCAAATTGCTTTCCATGCACATTTCCTCTCGATGCACCGCGAACGTACTCTGATGCGATTTGTGTCAGCTGAGAAGCTGTATCTTGTGCGTTCGCTTTTTCAGCTATTACGACTGTCATCACGTAGCCGGTACCAAATCTAAAATGTTCCCACTATAAATCTTTATTTCCAAAAACTCTGTTGCTCTTTATATACATCAAAGGGGCTATCTCTTGCCATGTTTGTCTGTTTAGCATTAATTATTTAAAATTTTTCTAATTACAGTAAGCAGACAAGTAGCTGCACTATCATGGGTACATACCGATAATACGCACATACTCTCCGCTGTTATATTTTTTCTAGATTTTTTGTTTGGATTAATCGAACCAACTTTCACTCCAAATTTATTATTGTAAGAAGTATGATTGCTGAAAGGCTTGAAATATTTCGAATCAAAACGGAAAAACAAAACGATGAAGCTGCAATACGCATAGCGAATAACGTGAGAGCCAGAGAGCGCTTTTCTTGCATGGAAGTCTGTAGCATCAGTTTTCTGCTAATTTCTTCAATTTAGAAAAATGGCTCGAGCATCATCCCTTGGAAAAATGCCCATCCAAAACACTTAGCAGTAGTTGCGAAATAAATAGACAAGACAATATTTTTAATTTATGCCTTTCGGAACCCCACTAACGGTAAAATTACCTTACTACACTACTTCCAGATCAAAAAGCGTTAATAAACTACATCCTTACTTCTTATCAAAAATAACTGAAATTTAATAATTTCCTCTATAAACCAAAAGTTCATACCTCTTTTTAAGGAATTGAGGCGTTCCACAGCAATATACTCGTCCTTTGGCCATGATAGCCACCCTATCTCCCAGCAGTTCCGCTTCATCCATGTAATGTGTGGTGAGTAAGACCGTTCTAAAAACACAGCAGTAGATGAGAAATAGAGATTTCCACATTGCTAGTACTGGCAAAGCATTGAACCTGCTCTTCCCAAATGTTAAAATATAAAATTGTTTGTAAGGGTCGAACGCCCACTGACCGGTCAACTTTAATGCTCTCTAGCAATGTCTCCACATCTCGTCGAGCACCAGGATCCATGCCAGCTGTTGGCTCGTCCAGTAGCACTACAGGGCTGCCACCAATCACTGCCATTGACACACAAAGCTTCCTCTTTTGGCCTCCAGAAAGGTTCATTGCTAACTAAAATAGGCATAACCATATTTAACTTCTCCGCAATATGCGTCAAATTAAATTCCACCTCGTCAGTTTTTTCATCCAACTTCAGTTGACTTAGCAGTTGCTCAGTTTCGGTTTTATAGGAGCCATTAGCACCTTTGAGACCATGTATGAACCAGAGGTGCTCATCCACTGTTAGCCGATCAAACAATGCATTATG